TCCCCAAAACCCAAAGGGAAGGGTCTCCAAACCCCAAAAGGGGGGTTCCCAAAGGGAGGGTCCCTAAAAGGGTGGTTTCTCAAAGGGAAGGGTCTCCAAACCTCAAAAGGCGGTTCCCCAAAGGGGGGGGTCCCTAAAAGGGGAGTTCCCCAAAGGGAAGGGTCTCCAAACCCCAAAAGAGGGGTTCCCAAAGGGAGGGTCCCTAAAAGGGAAGTTCCCCTAAGGGAAGGGTCTCCAAACCCCAAAAGGGGGTTCCCCAAACCCCAGAGGGAAGGGTCTGCGCTCGCAGCCCCCCCTGCCCTCCAGCAAAGCTTTTCCCATGGGAATCAGATCTCCAGGGCTGGGAAGGGGAGGCTGAGGGTCCTGGGAAGGGGGGAAAGGAGGGAAGTGGGGAGGGGGGGGGACGAGCCCGAGGCGGCTCTTTGGCGAGGAAAATCCTGGGGAACGTGGTTGGGACCGCAGCCGGAGGAGCCCCTTCGGAGGCGCTTCCGCTCCGGGTGGAGAGCCACGGAAAAACCGGGAAAATAATAATAATAACAACGACGACGACGACAATAATAATAATAATAAAGAAAAAAAACCCAAAGGGGGCAGAAATGGCAGGTGCTGTCAGAGCAGAGAAGTGGGGGACAGGTCTCCAGTGTGCACCAAGGGGACATGGCCGGACCCTCCGGACCCTCTGGATCCTCCTGGAAGAGCATCATCCCTTCGGGAGGTGCCACCCCCCTGCAGTCACAACATGCATTTTTTGTTTTTTGTTTGTTTTTTTTTCCCAGGAGAGGAGTCTTTTCCGAACTTTCTTTCTTTCTTTTTTTTTTTGTTTTTTTTTTTTTCTTTTCCGGGCTTTTTTTTTTTTTTTTTTTTTTGTTTTTTTTTTTTTTCCTTTCCGGGTTTTTTTTTTTTTTTTTTGTCCTACAAAAGTCCCATATTTAAAATCTTTCCCGTCCCTAATTTTGCCCGGGAGGTGCCAGGGTTTGTCCCGGTGCTCCCCACCGGCCTCATCCCGCTCCATCCCACCTCGGGGAGGGGTGAGGAGGGGGGAAAAAAACCGGGGGTAAAGGTTTTGCTTCGCTTTCGTTTTTCTTTTTCGAACCTCCTCGGAATTCCCAAAAAGTCACAATTTTGGCTTCTGGCTCCTCTGAGAGAGAGCTCGAGCGGCGCTAGAAAAAAAAAAAATGCACTTTTTTTTTACACCAACATCCTCTGCCAGGATCTCAGGATTCATTCGTTTTCCTCTTTTTTTTTTTCAGTTTTTTTTTCCTTTAAAAAAAAAACCAAACGAGCGAACGAACGAAAAAAAAATAAAAGACCGAAAAAAAAAATAAAAGACCCCGAAAAAATATTAAAAGACCGAAAAAAAAATAAAAGGTCGACGAAACCTCTTTTTTTTTTCCTCTTTGTTTTGTGTTTTTTACGCTTCCAAAGCTCCGGGAGAGAGAGAGAGAGAGAGAGAGAGACTCCGAACGCCACCTGATTGCATCTCTCTGGAGAGAGAGGAGTAAAAAAATCCTCGCGAGTCGTAAAAGTAAAAGAGAGAGAGGCGGAGGGAGGGGGGGAGGAGAATTCCTGGCGGGGTCCCGCGGCGGGCGGGGTCACTGGTCCAAGGTGACCACCTCCACCGCCTGCCCGTCCATGGTGACGGCCGTGTCCGCTATCCGCGTGGTCACCGGCGCCATCGCCACCTGCACGGGGCCGTTGCCCTGGGCCAGGCTGGTCACCACGGTCTGGTACATGCTCACCGGGATCTGCACGAGCCCTGCGGGGACACAAACCCACAGGGAGAGGGTTGGGAAAGGAGGGAGTGGCATGAGGGGTGAGGGTGGGGAGGATACGGGATGGGGGAGCGGGGTTGTGATGCTCCAGTGAGGGTTGGAGGGATCCCACCTGGAGAGGGAACTCAATGTGGAGCTGCTGGAGTGAATCCAGAGGAGGCCCCGGAGCTGCTGCCAGGGCTGGAGCCCCTCTGCTCTGGAGCCAGGCTGGGAGAGCTGGGAATGTTCCCCTGGAGAAGAGAAGGCTCCAGGGAGAGCTGAGAGCCCCTTGCAGGGCCTAAAGGGGCTCCAGGAGAGCTGGAGAGGGACTGGGGACAAGGGATGGAGGGACAGGACACAGGGAATGGCTTCCCACTGCCAGAGGGCAGGGATAGATGGGATATTGGGAAGGAATTCCTGGCTGGGAGGGTGGGGAGGCCCTGGAATGGAATTTCCAGAGAAGCTGTGGCTGCCCCTGGATCCCTGGAAGTGTCCAAGGCCAGGTTGGAGCAACCTGGGAGAGTGGAAGGTGTCCCTGGGAGGGCACTGGATGGGCTTTGAGGTCCCTTCCAACCCAACCCATTCCATGATTCTGTGACCCCACGTGACTCCCATGTGGGATGGGAGCAGGGATGGGATGGGGTTGGGGGGCAGCCCCATGAGCTCAGCCCACACCCCAGGGCCGTCCAGCTGCAGGGAGAGACAATGAGGATGAAGAGGAAAGAAATGAGGTTATTTTTGGAGGAAGATCCCCAAACCAGGCGTGTTTGAGGATGGCACAGCAGGGACAGCACAGCCACTCCTGCCAGGCCAAGTTTCCTGGAGACAGGGGTTGCTCCCACGTGTTTCTCCCACATCCACAGCTGTGCCACCCCCAAGCCCACCAGTGAGCACCCACAGACAGGGAACACCCTTCCAAAATGCATTTTCCCACTTGGTTTCCCCAGAATCGGGACACGTGGGGTTGAGGAAGGGATAAACTTGGCTTCTCCCACCCCCTGCAACTCCCTAGGTCACTCCAGCACCTCCCCACCGGTGGCACGTGGAAGGATCCCTGTGGATCAGACACCAGTCCTGCCCACGAGCTCCCAAGCACAATTCCCTTCCTCCAGCTCCCTCCCCATCCCAGCCAGGTCCTTCTCCCCTCACCCTGAGACAGGGAAAGGACAGAGTGGGAACAACCAGCCCTGGCCCAGCCAAACCTGCCCCTGGCACCAGCTCCAGGCATTTATAAAGCATCTGGCACAGAACAGAGACAAAGGAAAGCCAATCTCATCTCTCAGTCCTTCCCTGACCGTGGATGGGTCTGGCAAAGCAGGAAACACCTTTTTCCCAAGGGAGGCTCAGCTGCAGGAAGGGATGAGGTGCCCCTGGGGTGAAGCTGGAGCTTTCTGGAGCACAGAGGGAAGTCCCAGTGTGCCCCAGCCAAGGTGACAACAAAACAACAGGGGGGCCCCCGAGGGTTGTTTGTGAGGCGAGTGATGGAAAGAGCTGGAACAAAGAGCAAGAAGCTGGTGCAGCTCCAGGGAGCCAGGCAGGGGGTGGGAATGGCAAATCCCACAGGTTGGGAGGACAAACTTCATCCTTCTACCCCCTTGTGCCCACCCCTGCCTTGGGGGGGTTTGGGAAAGCGAGGCAATGTGGGCATTTCTGAAAATATCTGCCCCTTTGCCGGGGGGAAAAAACAGCTTTTTGGGGTCCCCACGGAGGCGGCAGCGGGTCCTGAAAAAGCAGGACGAGCCCTGGTGGGGCAGGAGCAGAGTCTGCCCTGCCAAGGGCACCTGCTGAGTGACTGGAGGTGGCCCAGCCCGGGCGGTGTCCTCGGATAACTCGGAGTGCAGACAGGAAAGCTTAGGAGCTAATCGTGCTGGCCCAGGGGGGTGACCCCGGCCGGCCCAGCCCGTGCTGCTCCTCCAGCATCCCTCCCTCTCCCCCTGGGATATCACAGCACTCCGTGCCTGGGAGGTTTTGGGGTCCCCGAGCCCCCCAGGGCTGCCCCAGGCCGGAAGGGTCACATCCACACCCAGCCCAGCCAAGGAATTGCTTTCCTGGTGTGGTGGTCCAGCACCGGCTTCAGGAGAAGGTTCCAGGCTCCCGGGAATCCGTAAGAATTTTAGGGAACAAAACCCTGGAGGGAGAGCTCAGGCTCAGCCCTCCTGAAGCAAATCTCCCTCGGGAGAAGGCGGCACATCCCAGTTTAAGCAGGACCCGGGGATCTGGCCTGGGATGCACCCAAAATCCCCCCTCCAGACCAACCGAGCCCTCAGGGCTGTGAACCCGGGGGAGACGGACGGAGCTGCCCAGGGACACACGGACACCCCAGGGAGCAGAGTCACCACGGGACCCACGGAGCACAGGCACTACAGGCACCAAAGACACTAAAACCCCCCCCACTGAAACGTGTGGTGGCCACAGCGCTGCCAAAAATGGGTGATGGTGAGACCTGAAGAATCTCAGAAGATCCTGGGCTGGAAGGGACCCACAAGGTCCAACCCAACTGGGGTGTTTTTTGGGGAAAAGATGAATTAATTCAGCCCAGGTTTGGCTGAGCACTGCCAAAAACGGGTGATGGTGAGACCTGAAGGATCACAGAATATCCTGAGCTGGAAGGGACCCACGAGGCCCAACCCAACTGAGTATTTTTTCTTTTTTGGCAAGGCTGATGAGCTCAGCCCAGGTCTGGCCACGTCTGGGAGCGCCCGGAAGAGCGGGGCAGCGTCCGTGAGAGCCGGCGCCGCACAGATCCCTTTCTGCCAGGGATTAGAGCAAATCTCCTCAGCTCTGACGTAGCCACCTTCCTGCCAGGGGTGGGAAGAAGCCAAAGGAGGAGAGGGCTGGGAAGTCTGTGGGCATTAGGGCAGAGCTGATCGCCCTTGGGAGGGACACGATTAGAGCGCCGAGATGCCGTAATCGGGTCTGGGATTGGCCCCGCGCTGCATCTGCTCAGACCTGCGCCCTGATTAGCCCTAATCTAGCTGGCATATGTCAATCCAAAGCGTGGATTTCAGACCCTTTCAATTGTATTAAAAGCAGGAAATCCATTAGACACAAAAGTCCCGAGCCTTTGGGAAGCGTCGGGTCCGTGACGGGAGCGCCGTGAGGGACGGGCGGGGAGCGGGGATCCCGTGGGATCCCAGGGACAGTCACACCTCCTGCCTGGGGAGGGACACCAGGACAGGTGAAGGATCACACCCCCAGCAGCACTGAACGTGGCCACGGGCTCGTGGAAGAGGCAGCCGGGCTGTGCTTGGCTTCCCATCCGTGGGAATGGCCAAAAATCCCCTCTGGAAGGAGCCCGGGAACCTCCGTCCCCCCTGTGGATCAGCCATTCCCAGCCAGCAGCTCCCACCCACCCTCAGCAGGGATGAGGAGCTCCAGCCCCCTGGGAGCAAGGCCAACGTCCAGCACTGAGCTCCTGCCTCCCACTTCCCTGCCACATCCCAAAGAATTCCTCTGGGGGAGGATCAGGTTTGGCAAGACTCCTTTGGGGGGAGGATCAGGAAGCATGGCATGGGGGGAATGGGTCAGGACACGAGGGGCCAAGGGAGGAGAAGGGCCATGGGAGGTTTTTAGGGTTGAGATAGCACCAGGAGTCAAAGGATCAGAGTGGATCAACTCCGAGATGGCCCCGGTCGGATTCCAGGTCAGGTGATACCAGTGGCTGCAATTCCCACAGGGAATGGGATGGGCCACGGGAGATGGTGAAACTCCTGCTGTCCCAGCAGGGAAGAGGTTCCAGTTCATGGAAGAAGAAGGGTAAAGGTGAGGCCACAGGACTGAGAGGTGAAAAGTCACACTGTGGTTAAAAGAGAGGCCTGGCCTGGCACAGCCCATAATCCCTGTCCCGATCCCAAACTGCAGGACCCCCTGGAACCACCACACAGGGCCAGAGGGTCGGGCAGGGGGGATGGGGCAGTGCCCAGGGAATTGGTGTCGAGGGCCAGAAGTGCCCTGGACAGGCAGGGCCGTCGATGTTCCGGGAATTGGGATCATCAGGGCCAGTTTCTGCCCTGCTCTAACCCCTCCTCACCCTTGGGATCGGAGCCAGGGCAGCATGGACACGTCCTCAGCTGCTGTGCCCGCTCCCAGAACTCCCAGATATGGAATATTGTCCTGCCCAGGGACACGAGACAGCCTTGGTTGAGTCCACCCTGATCTCCTGTCCAGTGCCTGGGGGTTTAAAGTGGCTCAGGCCGTGGAATCCCGGGAGGGGTGGGGTGGGAAGGGACCTTAAAGCCCATCCAGCTCCAACTCCAACACCTCCCACTGTCCCAGGCTGCTCCAACCCCAACACTGGACACTTCCAGGGATCCAGGGGCAGCCACTGGTGCTGCTCCTGGAGATCCAGTGGCTCCAGAAGCACACCCAGCACCGAGGAGAGGCGGCATTCCCAACAGAATGGATGCCGAGGTTGGCACACCTCGGGCACCAAAGGGGTCTGCTCTGACCTCCTGCCACCCTGCAGAGCCAGCAGGGAGAGATCTGAAGTCTCTCAGCCCCTGTTGGAGCTCTGAAGGTCTTACAGTGCTCACACCAACGATGGGAAAGGCCAAAAAGAGTGGAATTCCCACTGGAATTCCCTGGCTGTTGGCACACAGCTCACCCAGAGGACTCTGTCTCCATCTGCTCGGCTCACACCGAGGGGAAAGCAGCAGGAGCTGTGCTCAGGAAGTGTTCCACAGCAGATATTCCTGCAGCTCCTCCCTCCCCTCCTCCAGAGGCACCGGCCCGAGGAATCCAGCCGGGATTCCCGCGCTCAGGAATGCCCCAGGAGATGCCATCCCATCCCCACCTACAATTCGGGAGCAAGGGCGGCTTTGGAGGCCGGGACGGGGGAATTCTCGGGGACGGGAGGGTTTTAATGCCCAGAAACCGAGCAGGGGAAGGAAAAAATCCACCAACTCGTCTGTCCAGGCATCCAGACAATCCAGACATTGCTCCATCTGCCGGGCTGTGTGTCTGTCCACATCCATCCATCTGTCCATCCATCCACCAGTCTTTCCATATAACCGTCTGTTCATCTGTCCAGTCAGACGTTGATCCATCTATCAGTCAGTCTGTCCATCCATCCATCCATCCATCCATCCATCTGTCCATCTGTCTATCCAACCAGACAGTGATCCATCCACCAGTCCATCCATCCATCCATCCATCCATCCATCCGTCCATCCATCCATCCATCTGTCCATCCAACCAGACAGTAATCCATCCATCCATCCACCCATCCTTCCATCCATCCATCTGTCCATCCAACCAGACAGTGATCCATCCATCCATCCATCCATCTGTCCATCATCCATCATCCATCCATCCATCCATCCATCCGTCCATCATCCATCCATCCATCCATCCATCCATCCATCCATCCATCCACCCATCCCTTTCCCCCTCTCCCAGTCCGTCCATCCCACCCTCCCTGCCCCCAGTTCTGGGATTATTCCATGGGGTCTTTTAGAACGAGGTTATTCCGAGGCCGGCTCGGGAAAGGGGCTGCCTGTAACCCAGCCGTGTCCTACGGAATCCTGGAGCAAAGACCACTCCTTTCCTCACCAGCTGCAGCTCTGGGCACCACTTGGAGTGTTCAGAAGGCCCCACAAACGTTTTTATTAAATCCACGCCGTCGCTTTGAGCCCGGCTCACCGAGATTCCCAGGAATTATCACCTGGAGCACCTCCCTCCCGGGGGGACCGACTCGGGGGGGGCCTTCAGGAGGTGGGAGGGGGGACAGGCCACAGGCACAGGGGGGGTGTTGGCAGCAAAATAAACCTCTGACCATCCCTCCACAGCAGCTACAACAAGGGCTCTCTGAGTCACGTGTCACCCCGAAAAACCCTCTGGCCGAGGAGAAGAAGAATCCACCAAAGAAGAATCCACTGAACCAAAAGCATCCCTCAAGACATGAGGGATCTCACCCAAAAGCCCAGTGCGGAAATGAGGCATTCCAGGATTCCCACCACACTCCAGGGGGGCAGGGGAAGCACAGGACACCCCTTAACACCTTGTCTGGGATAAAAGAGGAACTGTCTTCCCAAGGCTCAAACCCCCACCTGCAAAAGCACCAAGGGTTGACCCCAATCAGACAATTGGAAGGGTTTTCCCCCTCAGAAAATCCTGCCCCATCCCTGGAAGTGTCCAAGGCCAGGGCTTGGAGCAACCTGGGATGGTGGAACTGGATGATCTTTGGTGCCTTCCGACCCAAACCACCCCGTGATCCTGTGATGGTGACAAACCACCAAGAGCCCCTTTGAAGGGTTTTTTTTTAAGCCCTTCAATCAAAGCCCTGAGAACTCTCCGGGCACAGAGCGGTGGCAGCTCTGCCCCACAGACCCTCTGTGCCAACCCAGCTCAACACACAAAGGTTTTCCCTCCAGGTAACTCTGCCCCACAGCCCCTCTGTGCCAACCCAGCTCGACACACAAAGGTTTTCCCTCCAGGT